GATCATCTTAATAATATAAGACACTAAAGGTACCATTTTGTAATACCTTTAGTATAGTTAGTTTAAAATGGTACATTTTGTAAAAGTAAAACAAAAAAGGGAGATAATTAGTTTAAAAATAGAGAATTTGCATCCCATATCCACACGTTATACCATATTTAGGTGAATAACCATGCAACTGTTTCATATTTAAGTAATCATATTTTAGTAACTTTTGTCTTCCACTATATGGAAAAGAAGTTTATTAACTCATACTTTATCACGCTATAAGGAAATGCTAAGTAGAGTTGTATGGTAATACGACTCGTTGTCTTTTATTGTCACTTCAATGTCTTCGTGCTTTTCTTTTTCTTCATATCACTTTATTAACTAGAGAATCCAACAAACTAATCAAAATGTATTTATTTCTTAAAGTTATTGTACTACTGGGAATTTTAACTCAACATTGACGATAAATATTCATTATTTCTTCTCACTAAGCACATTTGTCTCTAACATGCCTCATCTTCACTTGTGTTTTGTTTCTTACTTTGTCTGTTTTCTTCATCGGATGGTTGTCTTCTTTCTTGTTTTTTCCCAACCTCCGTTTGCAGCAAGTGATCTTTGTTACTCTCTTCAGACACTTGATCAGATTCACTTCTCATTTCCTGCTCAAAGACCAATTCACCAAAAGCTAATAAGTAACAATAACTGTTAGTTTAACGTGAAAGATTCACTAATGCTAATTAACATGTTGGATGTATGCTTGAAATATTGTAAATCATACCGGAATTTTTCCAACAATCATGTGACCCTTGTAATAAACATCTTTAACTTGGTTTTCATCACCCCAAGCCTCTTCAAACTTGGTTATTAGATCTTCGTTTATAAGCTCCACTCCTTGTTCTTTGGCCTTCATCGCAGGCTGCCACGATCTTAAGAGCCCTATAAACCCTTTAAGCGAAAGTTTATGCGGAATGTCTAGAGTTATAGGCTTTCCTTCGGATCCCATCCCTACGCTCTCAAAAGGAAATGGCAATGTTTTATAACCGTCGAATGCTAAATTCATAATAGGAGTTCTAAAAGGAAGAGTGGAGTCCACAAGGCGCTTCATTATGGGATCGATCTCAGGCGAGACAATTATATCATTGTAGACCCAAACGGCGATTAGGCCTCCTTCTTTGCGAAGAACACGTTTTGCAACATTGTAAAATGTGGTTAAGTCGAAAAAATGGACAGCTTGGGCAGCAACTATGAGATCCATAGAGTTTTCTCCCCCGATTAGAGCGACCATTTCGTCTTCCAACATATCTTTTGGAGTTTGATGGTAGCTGATTCTTGAGTGTTTGACTGCTCGTTTAAGCTGTGCTTCATTTATATCGGTAGCCACAACATTCTCGTAATGTTCCACAAGCTGTCAAATATAGAGAGTTCTTGGTATTGTCAATATTAGTTCACCTACTATATTCTAGCTATATCTCTGTATAGGTAAGTCTAATATGATGAACAAATAGAGAGGTTTTGTCAAGATTTTTGTTTTATTTTTGTATTATGAAACTCAACACCAATAGGCTATAGGCCAGTTCACTTACTATACGTTCTCTGTCTTTATGACTATATCTATGGTCGATGAATACGTACAATTGATTTGTGAGTCTAGTGGAAAAAAAACATCTATATATTATTTGAAACAAAACTTCAAAATGTGATATTTTTGAGAATTGCCTTTATATTATTTCTCTTGTTAAGCTTTGCATCTACATTTTTCTTGCAAAATCTGTCTAAGCTCATTTGCTATAAGCTCTAATTCATGAAAGATAATGATATTTTCCTCCTAGTTCTTAATTATATAATAATAGTTATTGGTCAAATAAATAAAATTATACATATTTGATTGCATATCTTCTATATATTAATTGAGGAGACACTAAGTAATTAAATCTTATGTGTCATTCAATAAGGATTCTAAAGAACACATTAATTAAATTAATCAATCAAAACATTCCAATTAATTTTATATGCCATGTTGAAAATCTATACATATTTACTTAATTTTTTAACATAAACTCACAAGTATATATGTTACTAATTTAAATTCAACTAAAATATAATACTTTAATATTTAAACGTTATATAACATAATGTTTTAACGATAAATCATTTAATAATCTTAATTACTTTATAAAAATTGTATTATGTCTATTTGGATATTATATGTGATTGATCATATAATTATTTTATTTTATATCGTTTAATTGTATCCATACTATTCTAATTAAAGTTGCACTTTTGTTATAAACGTACAACTTTACAAATCAAACATTAAAGGTTGAATTTCAAAAATCATCATTTCCACTTTTTATTATTTATTTGAAATTTTTTATTTAAGAAGATTTACATACTAACACGATATCTTTTTAGATTTGGTGATCTCACATAAATTTGAGAATCTATAATCTAAAACCTATTCGATTTACATTAAAAACGTTTAGATTCAATGTAAGTGTCACGCAGATTAAATTTTGTAAGATAAAATATACTTATGTATATGGGAAATATACCATTTGATTTTTTTTTTAATGTTTTCCGTATATTATTAAAAAAATTTAATTTTTTTTTAAAATATTATAATCTTGCGTTTAACGCGGGATAAAAATCTAGTAATAATGGAAATAACAAGACCAAGAAGCTGAATAGCAATAACCAATGTGGCGCCACCAAAATTGACGTATCTTTAGAATAATAGATCATGATTTACTAAAAGAGCCTTTCTAAGTAAAATGAGGTAATCTTGTGGCTGAATTTATCAGCATCATCTCCATATCACAAATCATAATAACTAAACCACGTATACTAAAGGAAGTTTTCAGATTTTTTTCTAAATCTAAAGATGATAGATTTATAGAAAGTTTACCCCAATAGCAGCCTGACCGTTACCAGTTCCTACATCCCAAGCAAATTGGTGGTCTTGTGTTCGTGCCGCGATCTTTTTATACCAATCGATCGGATACCTCGGCCTTGCGTCGAGATAAGCTTCAGCCTCTTTCTCTGCGTAGGTAGCCA